CATGTCCGTCAAAGGTCACGCTCCTGCCGGGGCTCAGCTGCCCCTCAGCCCTGCCCGTGGTGCTCTGGGTCCCCACAGCCCAGGGCCAGGCTGGGGCCCCAGCACCGCTGTGATCAGCTCCAGGTGAGGCCTCGGCCAAGGCTGCACATCCTCGGGTGCTGCCGTGACCAGCCAGTTCCTGACCATGTGCCGCCTGCTCGGGGACTGCTGCTGACAGACCTCACGTGATCAGGCTGCTTTGTGCTGGTTGTCCCTTCAAGGACACTTTCTTCAGGGTCGGAGTGAACTAGCTCTCATTTAAATAGCTGCTTTAGGCAAAGGTAACTGAGAAGGTAAACGCAGCAGAAAAGCTCCGAGGAGGAGACGGGTGCTGTGTTAGGTGACCCACCGCTTCGGACAGCTTGCTTCTGGAGACCTGCGGGTTCATGGTGCTTTGCCGGGTTTTGCTTCGTCGCTCATCGGAGGACAGCACAGAGCGCGGTCACCACGCTGCTGTTTGATTTGACATGTTCCTGTCTGTGTGGAGTTCAAGGTGGGAGGAGCCTTAGCTCAGACGGCCGTCACTGTAACAGATCCACAATCTCCAGAGCCGCAGACCCAGCAGACCCTGAGTTGGGGTCCCAGCACCAAAGAGGTGACACCCAACACTGAAGCGTTTCCAGAGTGTGAACCAGGAGACGCACTTGTAATTCTGTAAAACTCAGGCCTGTGAAATGTGATTTACCGGTCTCTTTAAAAACCTCCCAGGCTGAGTCTGACACTTTCTGGTGTGAAGAAGTCTGGGAGGAGCAAGTGCCCCCAGGGGACGCAAGCAGCTTCCCGCTCCGCCCGCCCCCCGCCCCGGGACCGGGCGCTCCAGAACTCTCTCCCCAGCCACCCCCCGCCCCGCAGCTTCCGGCTGGCGCCGCCCTGCCTCCGCCGCGTGCACGGAGTCGGGGCAGACGACAGAAGCACACACATGGGAAGCCAGCGCACACGCTCCCCCACAAGCTGCTTTTGCAAGCCCAGCGCCTTCCCACGCCAGGCCACGCAGGGCCACTTCTCACGTCCGCACGGCCGCCTGGGGTGCCTTTGCTCCCACCCCGATGGGACCTGGGGTCAGATGGCTGGCAGCACGTCACCTTCCCAGGGCGTGGGAGCCCTCTGGAGGTGACCCGCAACCTTCAACAATGGCAGGGTCAACCAGCACGGCTGATCCCCGGGCCCCCTCTGCCTCCCCACGCTGAAGGCACATTGGAAAGAGCACCAAGGGGGACACCGAGAGAAAGCCACCACCAAAACCAGAGCGCCTGGCGGGGCCTCGGAGGGCGAGGGGACCCCAGACGCTGGGGAGCTCTGCTGTGCACCCGGGGAGGCTCCAGCTCGGACAGAAACACGCCCCCCAACGTTCACAGCAGCGCCACTTACAACAGCCAAGACGTGGAAGCAACCTAAATGTCACTGACAGGTGACTGGACGAAGAAGACGCGGTACATTTATACAAAGGACTACTACTTGGACATAAAAAATGAAATGATGCCACTTGCAGCAGCGTGGATGGGCCTGGAGATCATCACTCTAAGCGAAGGGAGCCAGAGAAAGAGAAGTTCCACATGATATCACTTACACATGGAATCTAAAAAAAGGACACAAACAAACTAATTTATAAAACAGAAACAGACTCACAGACACAGAAAACAAACTTACGGTTATTGGGGGAAAGGGCGCGAGGGATAAATGAGGAGTTTGGGATTAGCAGGTACACACCACTATATACAAAACAGGTAAATATCTAAGTCCTGCTGTACAGCACAGGGAACTATATTCAATACCTTATAACAAGAGTATGAAAACGAATATACACATATAAATGTGTAACTGAATCACGGTGCTGTACACCAGAAACTAACCAGAAACACCACATTGCAAACTGACTAGACTTAAAAAAAAACAACGGAGCTCTACCCTACCCTGAGAAGCCCAGGAGCTCCTGGAAGGCGTCTGAAGAGCTGGCCGCGCAGGTGGGAGGGAGTTGGGGCAACGGACTCAGCAGTGTCAGGCAGTAAGGTCATGCTCCTGCTCACCGTGAGTCCCCGCCACATCTCCTAATCCTGACCCCCCCACAGGCCCCCAAGCTGGAAGGGCCTAGGAGACACCTGAGGATCTGTGTAAGGACTCTTGGGGATTCTCAGGAATGTCTGGCCAGGGGACAGGGTAAGGCTGACGATCAGCCAGTAAGTGCCACACTTGTCCAGTGTGGCACTCCTTCCACACTTGGTAAACCACCGGTGCTCCCACCCTCCCCCCTTCCCCTTTGCCACGCTGCCTCCTCCTCCAGGAGGCCTGGGCCCACCCAGGGGTCCTCATCTGCGTTGGTGGGCTGTGGTCCTGCTCCAGCTCAGCCAGCTTTTGCTCTGATCGGTCGTGCCCACGCCACATCGGTGGTTAGACACTTGAATATCGCTCTGGGGTAGGGACTCCGGGGAGTGAGTGTGGGCTATGCTGACGAGGGCGGCAGCTTGCAGGGACAGGCTCACGTTTTCTTATTTCTTTCCAGGATTCTGCAGAGGACATGGGAGGACAGCTGGACAGAGTGGCCCGCACTTCGGGTCTGAGGAGACAGTCAGCGGGGCTGGCTCTCCCGGGGGCCAGCTCAGTGTGGCGGCTGCGGTGCTCCTCAGCGCTCACAGGGTCAGGGAGCCCTCTGCCCAGACCCTGAGCTCTTGTAGGACGTGATGGTTCACCGTACGCAGCCTCAGCACTGTCCCTGGAGCCCAGTTACTGAACACACCCTCCAGTCGACACCCAGGAAGCAAAGGCCTGACGCCAGAGGGACTCCACTGACCCCCAGACGGCAGTGTCACGTCAGCGTCAGGACAGCTGGCTGCTCTGTCTGCTACTGGTCTCCACCACATAATGGACAGCACAGACCTTTGAGACCTGCCACGAGGTGGACGCTGCCCTGGTGGGTGGAGTAACTGGTCCTTAAACAATCTGCTGTGGGCATTGGCATCGGGAAGCCAACTGCCAACTGGCTCCAAGACGGGACGGAACCAGGCCTCGGAGTCACAAGCGGCAGATGCACCGCCAGCTTGGCAGTGGCCAGGACACGTGGCCCTCCGCCCCTGGGCCTGCCTCCTCTTGCCCCCCAGCAGGATGGGCAGAAGCAGTGGGTGACACGTGCCTGGCAGGTAACCTGGGGACGTCTGTACGGGACCACCGTTCGTCTACCTCTGAGGCCCTCCTGGCTCCCCAGGGAGGAGGAAGCCCGGAGGAGCTCGTGCAGCAGCGGCAGCCTCCCGCCACCCCCTCAAGAAATGGCCATGCTGGCAGGCGCCACGTGCAAATTACGGCTTTCCTCTGAAGCACGGGGACCATCTTTAAACGCGCGCATCTTAACTGTGAAGGGGAAAGTGAAGGAAGTGAGTCTTCCGGCCCCCACTTTCTGCCACGGCTGATTTCACAAAGAGCCCATGGCCATTCTGCTCTGTTACAGGCACCTGCAGTCCAGCAGATGGGCCGTCTTCACTACACTGCTTCCGTGAAATCGGACTACGGTCATTTTACTAAGACTAGGACAACTTCATACTTCCGTGTGTGATAATGATAACTAAAGTCTGCCTAGCATTTACAGGTTACAGGGTTTTGTGCACTTTATTGGAGCACCCGATTCTGACAAGGAACACAGGGCAGGTACCACAGTCATTGTGTCTGTTTGACAGTTAGAGACATCAGGGTCTAGGAGGTAAAGTTAATTTATCCAACAGCACAGGTTTCATGCTTACTGCTCTGACTTGAAGCAAATCTCTAAATTCTAATCCTGTCAGTCTCAGCTAATTCTGTGAATACAGGGTGGTTTTTAAACCCACCATTAAAATAAATTGAAAAAAAAACTCAACCATAATCTCACCACCCTAAATCAACTTTATCTCTGTGTCCTAATTTGGTGACGCTTACATGTGAAAAGCTAGAAGCCACTGTTTACAGTCATGTGCATTACTGCTCGGTGTTCCTAACCCAGAATCCTCGTACCACACACACTTCCCTGGCAAACGTTCCCGGGGAGGTATCCTAAACATGCAATCATTAAAAATGCTGCAGAAGAATATTTAATGACCTGGAAAATATAATTTGAGAGGAAAAGAAAAAGCAGGACACAAGTCATAGTCGAGGGGCAATTGTCACCGGCCTGGATCTCATAGCTCCGCCCCCACCTTACACCCCTTAAGCCCCGCCGCTCTGGGACGCAGGCTGAGGGCTACGCGCTTCACCTGCTCACAGGGCGGGGACCAGGCTGGCAGCTTCACTACCTAGTTTCTCACTTAATTTTTCCAAATATCCTGTCAAATACATAATACATGCATCTTACACATGAACAAACAGAATCTGAGAAGCTCTGTGCCCTGTCAAGTTTTGACAACTGGCACACGGATTACGGGCTGACGTAACCCATTCCAGGTCTCCTGACTCCAAGACCCATCACGTTCCCAAGAACCATATACACATAGCCACAAACACGCTCTGCTGGTCGATCAGAGTTCAGCAAGCGCTTCGGGTCAGGGCTCAGACTGCAGGACATGGCAGCTCCTGGGCTGCAGTCGGACCGACAAAGGTCGTTGGGGAGGGAACCTGGGGGAGACCAAAGCCTGCCATCTTTTTACTACAACACACTTCCTCTGAACAAGTGTTTCTCCTCTTCCTAATTAATATTTTAAGTGGAAACCCCACATTATTCAAATGGAAGAGTCCTCTGGCCACTTAGGCTGGGCTGCAAGAACTGAGGAAGGTGGAGCGGTGACTCCAGAGTTGAATCCACAACTCGGCCGCAGGCACCTTCAGACACGGGAGTTTGGGACGTTAAGCGGTCAGCGCTGAGCAGAGAGAACGGCGGGCGCCCGCCCTGGGTCTCGTGGAGACCTCTGCTTTGTGAGGCGCCGCGGCTGTGAGTCTATTCAGATTTTGCCAGAAGAGGAAGCCAGCTGAGCGGAGGGGACTGAACTCCCCGCTCACATTTCAGCCACTTGCGCCTCTGCCAAGGCCGCTGCGATCCGAGCCCGGGGGAGGGGATCCTGCTAAGGAAACGGCATTTTCCTTCCTGAAAACAGGAGGCAAGCAGGCCTGCTGAGCCTCCGCAGGACTGAGGGCAGCACGAGCCACCAGGCCAAGGAAGGTCCTTTCCCACCCCGAGGGTCAGGCCAGAGAGCGAGGTGGCCCCGGCCCCAGGTTTTCTGGAGGAGTGGCCAGGACACAGCTGGGCTCTGGCAGGGCCGTGCGCACGCGCGTGCACACGTGGGAGGGCCTGACGGGCCACCCGTTCCCCGAGCTGCCACCTCACAGGCTGTGCCGCTGCTCCACACACCTGGATGGCAGTTAGCAACGGAGGCCCTTTCGTCTCACGTTAAAGCCACAATCAGGTCAGTGCACGACGACCTTCTCCAGCTTTCTAGAATGTTGTCTTCAGAGATGAGAGAGAACCCCCGGTGTGACTCGAGGCAGCTGATTGCTGGCAGCATCTGTCAGACGGGAGCTGAGAAACGCGGCTCTTCCCCAGAGCAGAGGCCGGCCGGCCCCGGGTAAGTGTCTCCAGCAGCACCGCCCAGGAGGGAGCCCCGAGACCCCGGCTCCGTCCAGCACCCCGAGTCCTGGTGCTGCTGGCATCCCCGGGACACGGACGCGTGGGTCCTGCCTCCCCTGAGAGGCTGTGGTCTACTTGGTCGTGTGCTTACTTGTCACAGTTTGTGGTAAAACACAGCATGTGAACTTCCCACTTAGACCACTTTAAAGTGTCCGTGATCCAGCGGCATTAAGGACACTTAGCGCTGTAGTACTATGACATCACCACGGGCTGGTTCCAGGGCTCCTCAGCCCCCAAGAGGAAACCTGCGCTCACTCACCATCCTCCCCGGCCCCTGGCCACCTCTCACCCACTTCACGTCTCTCTGCACGTCCCCATTCTGGTCGTTTCCTATAAATGCAGCCGTGTGGTACGTGGCCTCTGTGCTGGGGGCTCCCTCCACTTAGCATCATGTTTTCAAGGCTCATCGGGTTAAAGTGTGTATTGGGAATTCTTTTATTTTAAGGCTGAATTCCATTGCGTATTCTTCAGGGAAGGACATCTGGGTTTCTGTACCTTTGGTTCCTGTGAATAGTGCTGCTATGGACGCAGTGTACAAGTTTTTGTTTAAACACCTGTTTCTATGTTTTTGGAGGGGAGCTGCTGGGGGATAAGATAATTTTATGTTTAAGTTACTTAGAAACTGCAAAACTGTTTCCACACACATCAGGGCTGTACAGCTCCCCAGGGGAGTCTAACAGCCAGCCAAGCGGTAAGCTCCCAGCTGGTGAAGAGCCCACTATCAGTTCTCACACAAAGTAAGTGAGAGAATCAGGATGAAACCAACAAAATCCAGACGCAAGAGCTTACTTCTTCAGCAAATGAATTACAAGTTAAAACAAGAGTGAGGGGGGAGATACGGGCGAAGCCACAGGTTAAAAGAAACCTAGGAGGCGTATCATGCAGAACCTTATTTGGATCCTAAGCCAAACACACAGACACACAGAGTTAAAAAAATTGTATTTGTGAGATAATTTGAAATTTAAACACTGTACACTTAATGATATTATGGAATTATTGTTAATTTGTTAGTTATAATAATGGTGTTGCCATTATATTTTTAAAAAAGAATCTATCTTTGCAAGTATGTACTCGTTTTATGTAAACAATAAACCTTCTCCAACAGTACAGGAGGGAGGGTCTGGGTGGGCCCAGAGGGAAACGCCACTGGCCACGAATATGCAGTTACGACTGGGGGTGGGGCTGACGGACGCCACTTTCACGTCTGTTCCTGTTTTTCCAGAATAAAGCTAAGAGATAAATTGGTGCAGGTATTGTGAAGATCAGTATGGCGGCTCCAAAAAGTTAAAAATAGAACTACTGTATGACCCAGCAGCCCACTTCTGGGTGTATATTCAAAGGAAATGAACCAGTACCTTGAAGAGGTATCAGCACGCCATGTTCAGTGTGGCATTACTCATGAGAGCCCAGGTACAGAGCCACCGCAGTGTGCCCGCAGGTGAATGGATAAAGACAAGTTACGTATACACGTGTGTGCGTGCGCACGCGCACACGCACACACAGGAACACCATTCAACCACAAAGAGAAGGAAATCCCGCCACTTGTGAACACATGGATGACCCGGGAGGACATTACGCTAAGTGAAATAAGCCAGACATAAAAGACAAATATTGCATGGTTCACTTACATGTAGAATTAAAAAAAACCCCAAACTCATAGTAACAGAGCAGAATGAATGGTGGTTGCCAGGTAGAGGAGGGAGGTGGATGTCGATCAAACAGCACAAACTATGACTGAAAAGGTACGTAAGTTCTGAGCCTGAAGGTGCTCCATCTAAAGGTGACTACAGTTCTTAACAGTCTATGGTTCACCTGAAATTTGCTGAAAGTGACCCTTAAGGATTCTCCCCACACACACAAAGGTGACTGTAAGAGGGCGGGCATTTCAATCAGCGTGACTGTGAATGGATAAAGACAACGTTATGTACATACATGCGTGCGTATCAGTGCACAGGGCACACGTATATCGAAACACCATGGTGCGCACTTCAATATACACAATTTTTATTTGCAAATCAAACCACAGTAAAGCTGGGGGTGGGAGGGAGTTGAAAAACAAACAAAAAGTCACAGCCATAGCCAATGAACACAGAGGGAAGATGAAAGCAGATGTCTGTCTATCTGAGAAACCTCAGCCCCCTCCCCCGGGGCTAGCTGCCCTCCGTGGGGCTGTGAACGGGCCCAGAGGGACTAGGGCGCTCCTCGCCACGCGGCAGTCAGCTCCCTACGTGGGGTTCACACTGGATGCCTTGGGCCTTGTCTCCTTCAAAGACAAGGGTTTTCTTTTAAGTTTTCCTGCTGAAATCCATTCAGAAAAGCTCCCAGCTCTAGAATTGGAAAGGACCCCATGCTGTTTTTTTTTCTTTTAGGGGAAGAGAGAACTAGGTTTATTTGTCTACTTATTTTTTAAGCTGAGATACTGGGGACTGACCCCGAACCTTGTGCCTGCTACGCAGGCACTCTTACTACTGAGTTCTCTCTTCCCCCTATTTTTTTTTTAATGTGGTTAAATATACACAACATAAAATTTGCCATTTGAGCCATTTTTAAGTGTCCACTTCTGTGGATTAAACACAGTCACACTTCTGTGCAACCATCACCACCACCCATCTCAACGTTTTCATCTTCCCGAAGTGAAACTCTGTCCCCACTAAACACTAGTTCCTCACTCCCCCCACCCAGCCCCGGGCAACCACCACACTGCTTTCTGCCTGTGGACTTGGCCACTCTGGGAACACCACACAAGCGGGACCATTCAGTGTTCACCCGCCTGTGACCTGCTTATGTCACTGACATCATGTCGAGGTCATCCATGTTGGGGCACGTGTCAGAATTTCCTTCCTTTTTACGGCTGAACAGCACTCCACTGTATGTATGGACTGCATTTTGTTTGTCCACGGACACTTGGCTGTTGTGAATAATGCTATGGATGCTGTATCCGTGAGAGGCTGCTTTCAGTCCTGCTGAGTATACACCCAGAAAGCATACGGTAATTCTAGTCAATATTTTTTAAACCAAGTCTTCCAGAGTGGCTGGGCTGGGAGTGGAGAAGTGGGAAGGCAGGACAATCTACCTGGGCCTCGTCCGAGGACACACCTGGCTCACACCTGGCTCTGCCATTCGCCAGCTCTGACAGCTCCGCCTCTTACTTTCAGTGCTTGGAACTCCACTGCCTAAAAAGCGCATGGCCGTCTGCAATCGCGGCCCGGCTCCTGCCCTGCACGCCGCGGTGCTGGCCTGCAGCCTTGCCCCACCCCAGCCACCCGGTGGCTGCATTCAGGATGTTTTCTGTTCACCGTCTGTGAAACTTCACAGAGCTTCAGAGTTTTAGAAACGCGTGTTGTTTCAGAGCTGGTGAGGCCTCTGGACCACAGGTGGGCTCACAGGGGACACTGACAGCTCACCTGAGAAGGTCAGGTGAGTCTGCTGATGCTCCAAACCAGGGCTGCACAGAGCATCCTTACCCTGGGGCTTTGTTGGCACACCTGGGTCATTCAGGGACCACAGCCATTTTGACTTGACATCAAAAAGTTTCCCGGTAATTTTCAACTACATCTTATGCAGGTGATGAAATGACTCCCCTGGGGGAAGGTTTCTCTCCTGGAAACCATGTGAGCTCATGCAGATTTCTGGGCAGGTTTTACTGGTGACACTAATTCCTATTTCTTTGATGTATGGTTTGGTGACCGTGACGCAGGCAGTGACAAGTGGGCAGCTATGATAACAGGACCATGTTATTCTAGAGAACTGAGCACTGAGCACCGAGTCCTCGGCCTGGAGACGTGGCCAGCTCAGGCCTGGTTTGAGGGCCTGGAGATGCACACAGACCTGGTAAAGGCCAAGTGAAGAAACCGGCTTTGCCATCTGTGTCAGTCCTGCTTGCTCTGTCCCGACAGGCTGCTCAAGGTGCGACTCTTCTCTTTCGCAGTCCTCAGACACAGGCTTTTCAGTCTGGTGGGGCAAATGTGCACCTAGGAAAACCCGAGTGCCAAAGGATACACAGGCGAGACTAACAGTGTAATAAAACATTCCACCAGCAGGTGGCAACAGAGGACTTTGCGAGCAGTTCTCGCAGCCGGTTCAGAAATGCTGGAAGGTAGCTTTTAACGACTATTGTACAAGTGATTTATGTGTTTGGATTCCGCTCAATGTTATATATGCATTGCTGAATAAAACATCCACAGCGTATTTTCCATCAGCAGCTGAGCTCCAGTTCCAAGCTTCTAATTCCCAAGGCTCCCAGGAGCCCCTGACTTCAAATTGCTTTCCGCCTAGAACAGCCGTTTCAGACTCCAGGAAAGAAAGTACTTAGAAGGGGGTGAGAGGTCTGGCTAGCCAGATGCCTGTCCTGCGGGCAGACTGGCCGGGGCCTCCCGGGCCATGCCTGGGTCCCTGCATCTGCTCTGTCTCACGCTGCCGAACCTCTCGTATCCCGGGCCCTGCAGTCTGTTCCCTAAAATACCCCCTTCCCCACCTGCCCCTTACACACCTCACTCACGCCCCATCCCAGAGAAGACGTCTGTGACTGGTGTCCCTGGTCACCCTCTCAGGCAGAAGTCCTCCGCAGCATCCACTGCTGCTATGACACACTCATCTGTGGCCTGTCGATGGTCTGTCCCCAGACTGGGTGCCCCTGAGAGCAGGCCCCGCTGTCTGTGCCGTCCACCCCTTGTGCCTCACGCTACGCTGAGCTGGCGCGGAGGAGATGCCAAGGCTTCTGCAAACGCAAGGCCCTCAGACGCCTGCAGCTCAGCAGGGGTGGCGTCCCGGTGCTGCCCGAGCCGCGAGTTAGGGCTGACTTCATCCCTGCCTCACTCACAGGTGAGAGTGGCCCTGACAGGTCCCCGTGCCGGCTGAGCGTTCTCAAGTACAAACGGGGGATGAAAGAAAAAGAGAACTAATTAGTTTCAGAGAGAAAAATTTTCACATTAGCTGACAGGTAAGAGCCTTTACCCAGTGGGGAGACAGACAAGCACACATTCATGTACGCACACACATACACTCATTCTCACACACGTGCACTCACAGGCACGCAAACTCACACACACTCACACACACACACACACACACACTATTTACAGCAACCAAGAAATCAACTCTCCCAACAATCGTTACGGAAAATGACAGCCTCTTATTTGAAATCATTTTCCATTATATGGAAGATATATTATGAAATTACTGCTAATTAAACCTATACATATAAAGATTATCTGCTCATTTATAACATGCTTCCAACTATAAAATTAAATGTGAGGTTTGGACTTTTTTTCAGAGCTCATGTTTCTTCTTTTTTTATCATCTAGGATAGCTCCTTCAACAAAATTTCATTTTTTGACACAATGCTTGCTTGGTACAACAAAACTATACTTGAAACTTGAAATTTTGTATTATTACACTTTTTAGAGGGGTTAGGATGACACCATATTTCAGATACACAATCAGGTGAGTACTTATGTGGCCAGTTTAGCTTTCTGTTGGATGTACAGTCCTCAGTGCTCATTAACAATTCAGTGAAGCTTCATTAACATGCATGATATTTTTAGGTTTTCAAAAATGTAAAAGAAACAGGTACTAACGTGGTGATGTTAAAGGCACATATCAAATGAGGACTTGAAAGAAACTGGACTGTGTGGGAACACCACGCTCACAAAGCAGCACTCGACTGAAAGCTTTCCCACAAGAGGCCCTTCAGCCCAAGACTCCCACAGCTCACTAATTCTCCCAGGCCCTGAGGACACAGGGATCAGCACAGTGTGTGGCTCGTCATCTCAGACACGGAAATGGAGGCGAGCAAACATCAGGTCCTAACCGAGGTCACACAGATGTCACAACAGCTTTCTTAGATGCTGGGTTCCAAGTCATAGCTCAAACCACTGGCTGGTCCTTGTTGCTTTCCTGGACATTTTCCAAATGTTCTTCGTGGCGGCAGGGAGGAAAGAGGCAGAAACCACAAAGTAACCCTCAGCTGCCCCTCATCTCTTGGCTATTGAATATGCTGGGATTAGAAGACACACTAAGGTTGGTGGGAAAAGTAGCCTAAAGCTCTTAGTGTGTTTTATGGGAAGAAAATGTTGCCTCAAATCTTTCCTTGCTGGAGAGATCAGGATATCAAAGGGCTTCTTGTATCTTAAAATAAGTCTGGGTGAGTGGTCAGAGCTTCAAACAAGCTTCTCCCTGAGCTATGACTGGAATAATGAAACCACGGGATAATTGCAACTTTGGAGCCAATGTTCCCCTAAAATTCAACATAAATATTTGTAAGTGTAAAAACTGGATAAATCATACACATGCATGTGCGAGCATTTGCACGTGTACACACAACACACAGTGTACAGCTTATTCCAAGGGTATCTCACAGCTCATCACAGGACTGGTCACTCCTGTAAATGACATTCTACAGGTACCACATTCATCACTTAAAAATAACGCCAACAACTCTAGGATAAATGTGAAATAGGGAAACCGGTTCCCCGCCTGCACAGAGCCTCCCTGGGTCCCTGCGGACTCTCAGGCTCTCGGCCTTCCCGGCTGCAGCAGGACACGCACGAGGGGCAGGGCTGTGACCGAGCCCGCCTGTGCCCCCAGCGCGGCCGGAAGAGCCCCGCGGGCACGAGGCGCGGGTGTCGCTGACGGCGTGGGCCAGCACGCCCCGGCCGTCCCCACTCTCCACTTTTCTCTCCGCGTTTCTCCGTGAGGCGAACAGCGCACAGAGCATCAGCCACACCCGCCCTCCTGGCAGCTGTCTTGGAGCCTGAGGTTCCCTGACGGCGGCACTTCTTTCTTGCCTCTGTTTAACGCGTCAGGGAGTCTGAAGGCCATCGGACCTGGGCCCAGCGCTGCCACCTCCTAGCTGGTCCAGTGGCTGCCTCCGCTCGGCCCGTGGGCAAGGCGGAGATGACGGTGACCCCCCCGTAGGACGTGAAGCCCGAGCGCAGCCCTGGGTCCCAGCAGGCAGGCCGTACCCGACCGCGCAGGCAGGGAGAGCCCTGCTCTGCCGTCCCTCCCTCGGCATCGCCCAGAGCCCTGAGCTGCCAGAGGCGCCGGCCCTCTGTGCACCACGCGGCCGGCTCGCCCCGACTCCCAGCGCCCCCACCCCACCACCACCCAGGAGCACGACTCCGGCGCGCCTGGCCTCTGGGACCCCCGGGAAAGGAATCCGCACGGCCCAGCTGCACCGAGATCCGCATCCTCCCGCGTCTCTCCAGCCAGTTCCTCTTCTTGGTTTGGCTTCTCGATAACATGACCTTGGTGAGAAGGTCACAGCCGTCTCTGAAGGCCCCCCTCCCCATTTTGACCTTACATTTAAGGCTGTTTGCCTCCTTCCCGGCAATCCTGCAGCAGCTCCTCAGCCCTGTGCACACGCGTGCCCACCGACAGCCGGATGTGACTCTGCTTATTTAAGCTCCCACCCAGATCCTGGGTGACTCCAAAACGCTTTTCAGCAACTCTTGAACTTCCGCCTGGGCCGCCGGCCTTTTTAACCTGGTCCCCCACCTCTCCTTCGGAGGGGCTGCTCCTGGGCGGAGAGCGCATGAGCGCCCCCCACCTCCCGCCGCCTTCTCCCTGCAGTGTCCTTGCTGCAGACATTCTCCCCAGGTCACACGGGCCGATTCCACCCATTTTTAAGTCCTTGAGCAAATGACGCTGCCACTAGAAAGTGCTTCTCTTGCCCCAAATGGCACAAACCATCTCCTGTTAATTCTCGCAGCACTGGACCAGGGGGCAGCGTGATCTAACAGGAAAGGAGCAGGCTCTGCAATCTGGAAGGCTTGTGCCTAAGTCCTGGCCCAGTATTCCAGCTGCACAACGCCCCACCCTTCATCTATAAAACGGGGCAGTAAGGCCCACCTCACAGGACTGTGGTGACGGTGAACCTAAATGTACACAAAGCACAAGCGGAGCCCCCAGGGCACACAGAGGGGCCGAGTGACACGGGCTCACTTCCCCTTGTCCTTCTCAACTGGCATTTCCTCTCCCTTTCTGGGAGAGTTACCAGCCCGGCTGTCTCCTCTCCCTGGCGGGGCAGGGGGCTCAGCCCCCCGGACTCAGAAAGTGCTACATGCGTGTCTGATGACTGAATAAAGTCTGATTATAACATTCTTGCCAACAGGAATCACTGGACTCACCGAGTATGAGAATTACAGAGGACCCGAGAAATAAACCACCAACTCAGCTTCATTTTATAGACGAGGCCCCAGACCCCGGGGGAGGCAGTGACTGCCCGTGGTCAGCACGCAAGTGAACACGGACACGCCCAGCCATGTGCCCCGTGGCGCTCCCCCACCGCTCCACCTCACTGCTTCTCTGACCGACACGGCCTTGCTGGGAGGTACGGGGCCAAAAGCATTTCTTCCGAACTGTTACTGCCCGCACGTACATCTTACGCCTCTCGGGAAACAGACACAGGAGATGAACGACTCATCATCTGACAACACGTTGGTGGAATCTCAGTGCCTGGCCTGACAGACTGAATTAGACAAGGAACTGGAGTGCTTTCAAACATCTTTCATCCTTCTAATCCAGAAAAAGTATATCCCACTGTATCCTCTTTGGTGAAAAGAAATACAGAGAGATGCAAAAGTAAGACGCTGATAACACAAAAGGAAACAGAGAGTTCGCCCCGGAGGAGAGCCTCCCAGACAAAGATGCTGGGCTCCCACCTCCGCAGGGCCCGACAGCGCCCGCCCAGGGCCGCAGGGAACACTCTGCCTCCAAACTGCTGCCTCGCCCTTAGATCACGCACAGAAAACTACCTGGTAACTGTTATAAATGCTGGGCTGTAATTTTTACCTAAGTCCTAGAATATCCATGAAAAAAATCCTGTAAATTAGGTATTCTAAGTCTTCAAGCCACTAATTTAATCAATATCAGTCTGGAAGTTTTAAACGATTCTCTGCTGTACTTCCCCACCCCCACTAAGTAATTATCAGAAATATTGATTTCACTCCATACATTCAATCTTACAGGTTCATAAAATATTAGCCTATTAAGTTAACATAAAAAATGCAGTTGAGTGGAATTAGCCAGCAGAGGGACTTTCATATAACACCCGCAAGCTGGGGCTATGTGAGGAAGAATTTTAATATATCCTGACCCCCTCCCCAGCCCTGGCTGGATGGGAAAGGAGGTTACAAAGGGGGTGGCATAGCAGACAGTGGTGTCTAGGACCTAAGATCATGTAGCACGTAGATGAGACATTAG